TCAATACATTCATTTAAAAAAACTTTATATAAAATGATATTTATTTTTTATATTTAGAGTTTTCTTCATAAAAAGCATCTTCAACAGTTTTTCTATATTTTTTAAAATATAAAATCAAAACATAAATTTTCTAAAACAATTACGATTACAACATATTTTCTATTTTAAAGATTTTAACATAAATTATATATTATATAATTTATCATCCCAATACATTTTTTTAATTATAAAAAATATTCACTCAATTTCATTTGTGAAATTGAATAAATATTCATTTCTCTTTCTCACCATCAACTTTTAAAGAATTCTCTATTTTAAGATTAGATGCATAAAGTAGTAGTACTTAATACATTATGAGTTGTTTTTAAGACTTTGTGCATAAATGTGTGATACTTTATGTATTAAAAATTGTTTTTAAGACTTCTAATAAATCTAGTTTATAAAGTTGTATAGATAAGATAACAAAGCTGTTGAAACATTTTAAAGAATATAAACTCTTTTTTTTCTATTTTAAAGAAGCTGTTGGATATTTTAGAGAACAAGATAGAAAAGTTGTTGTAGCATTTTAGTCTCAATTTCTTTTAAAGTTGTTGGAGATGCTCTTACGTTAGGTGTCTGAGAAAGTTTACGTGCACCTCGACGAATCTCGATGCTCTAAAGAACTGTCAGAAAAATCCTCAGTGATACCTTACACTTATTTATCCTTTATTTTATTTTATATTATACCAATCACATTTGTGTAAACTGGCCTGAAAACCCACGGTTACCAAAAAGGATAAACGAATAAAGTAGTAACGATTTGAACAAACTTGTTTAAAACGAACTTACACATCGGCTACATACAATTTCCATGAGACCGCTTTAGTCGTAAGCGAAAAACATCGGCTTAAAAAACCCGCTACGTTCATATGAAAAGAAGCGGAAACAACAAACCCGTTTTCCGAGTCGGCCAAATCCACAACTACGAGTCTACGACCAATGTGACGGATTACTTTATGTCGAGGAAGATACACGAGATTACTATGAAAAAAGCAGTGAATCTGTCGATAATGTCCGCTCGTCGTCGTAAACTTACTTTATAAATACACGAAGTAAGAAACGAACCCATACTATTTTTCGATCTTTCGAGGGAGTGTGACTACGACGGAGACACTATTACTGAATCAAACCAAACCAAACGAACACAATATATCCAACACAGAAATAGGATATGGGGGTCGGATGTATACAGACTTTGTCTCTAGCCCAGAGGATAGAGACAATGTTTTCCGTGAAAACACTACTTTCTACCTTAAATGAGACTCGTAGGCGTTAAAAAGCGAGTCAGAAGTCACAAGCGGGAGCTTGTCGACGTACATGAAGAACCGTTTAAGATTTTCCCGTGTTATTGTGGCCATGTCGATTGCTTCTTTCTTGTCGACGTACACCCACAACTCATCGGGGTCGATTCTCTTTAGGCTAACACGGCAAAATGGACACGATAATGATCTTGTTCGCCTGCAATTTGTTCCGGAGTCGTCTTAGGATTTTAGTACACGAAGAACTATTAACGAATACAAATCAAAAAATACAGATGCTCGATGATCAAATTTACATGAAACTCCTTGTGTTTCCCGATACAATAACACGAAAATCTCGTTTTACGTTATTGGTTCGATAATATGATGCTTCTTATTCTCTACGATTTACGGGATGTGTTCGATAGTGGAAACATACCAAAATCATAATCCCGTATACCGTGACTAGTTTTGATTGGTTCCGTAGAGAACGTAAAATTTTCGAACACTAGATTAGTGCTTTGGATGCTTGTATCGTACAACTACCAATGCACTATTGTGACGGATAGAGATGCATACCAGTCGTTATAGCAATTGGAGCACATCGCGTGGCTACATTTCGGTAATACGAGTTTGTCATTAGCTTCCATGCAAATACCGCATTCTTCTTCCGATTCTATATTGAGATCCAAACACCGACTTTCGTCGTCATCGTCTTCCCGTTTCGCGTACCGTTCGATACATATCTTCTTTTGCTTTCTATCTTCTGAATTGCTGACTCCGCTTTGAAGTTGCATTAGAGACGGATATATAGTACCTGTCATTGTGTCACTCGAGATATCAATTTCCGCAAGAAGAAAAAACCCGATAAAACGTTATCACCACTCGGCCACGACTACTAATTTTGTTTTTATTCACGTTTTATGAAACAAGATAGCAGATCTTTCAACGATATTTACAAGAAGACGATTTAAATTCGAGACTTGGAGCATACCGTAGAATTCTCTAATGCTCGCTTTTCTTTCGTTTGTGGACATCGTCGTGGTGCCATCGACATAAACCTGAAGGACATCAAGGAAGTTCTAAAGAAAACCGTTCTTGAAACCCGTATAGATAAAAGACAACTCTACTCGGTACAGTTATGTTAGGCAAACTAACTGACTGATAAACTGACTTACAAACTAGTCATATTTGATTAAAAAAAGGGAAAATTGCACCAAAATGGAACCAACTTTCACCTGATTCCTATTTTGGGGAACCAACTTTCAAAATCGTTATTTTGGGGAACCAACTTGGACCTGATTCCTATTTTGGGGAACCAACTTTCAAAATCGTTATTTTGGGGAACCAACTTGCGATTGATTCCTATTTTGGGGAACCAACTTGCAAAATAATTATAGAAAAAAAATTAAAATTCGTTTTTTTTCCAAAAATTAATGCAATAAAATCTATTTTTCATTTCAAATCTCGGTTTTTTTAAAATTCAGATATCAAATTGAAGATTTAAAAAAAATCCAAATTACCACAATAAAAATTGATTTTTACCAATGCAATAAAAAATCAATTTAATAGAAAAAAATTAATTGATGCAATAAAAAATAAATATTAAATATCACATTCAAGACTTTTATATCTAACCAATCCGTATCAATATTAAAGTTTAAATCAAATTTGGAAAATCAAACCAAAAGTTTGATAGAGATCCTTAAATTACCTGTTACATGTTCAACAGATCAACCAGACCCTTAAATAAACAAAAAGTTTGATAGAGACCCCTAAATGACGATTTTGAAAGTTGGTTCCCCAAAATATGAATCAGGTGAAAGTTGGTTCCATTTTGGTGCAATTTTCCCTTAAAAAAAACTAATAAATTAGTCAAGTTTGATAAATACTAGCTGACAAATTACTCAAGTTTGAGCTGATAAGCTAGCTGATGACTGATAAATTACTAAGTTCGATAAAAACTAGCTGAAAAGCTAGTTTTTGGCTGATAAACCAGTCACGTCTGATAAAAACTAACTGATAAACTAGCAGTTGTTGGGCTGAATAAATTAGTCAAGTCTGTAACTAGTCGATAAGTTTTATGACAATGTAAAATGATCTAAAAAAACATGTTGGAAAATTAATTGAAAATATACAAGTGAAGAAAAGACCCATGGAACGTATTGAAAAAAAGGTACGGATTAAACCCACGGAACGTATTGAAAAAAAGTACGGGTTTTTTACCTTGTAAATCAGGATCCTTAACAATCCGAGGGCACCGGCAAGATGGCAATCCGACCATTGAACGAAGAAAAGCAAAAACTGGGCAGCACAGCTGTATGACATCCGCATTTGCACGCTTCCCCCATCGTACTCCCTTCGTAAATCCGACGCTCTGCAAAACATGAAGCAAATTCAAGATTCAAGAAAACATAACGTAACTTCGGCCAAAAAACGCGACTCGTTTCAGTCGTTTTAATGTTTTCGTTTCGTCGGACGTATTGATATGTTAGTGAGAAAAATAGATATAGAACCGACAACGTGAAGAATAAGCCAAACTGACTCGGTTTATCTGACTCGAAGTTGGGTTTCAGATGGGATGCAGGCAGACATGTCGTCTACCCCAAAAAAAAAACAGAGGATCTCTAACAGATTTTTTATAATTTCTCTAGAATTGGAAATCAACAGTTAAATTACATTCAATTTCAACAAATTCTTTATTTTTGAAATTTCAAGATTAATTATATTATTAAAATATTATATATTTTTATAATCACAATACACTTCAAAAAAAAAACTTTATTCAAAATAGTAATAATTCAATCTTATTGGTCGAAATAAATACAAAAAATCATTTCTGCTCTCCTCACATTAAGTTTTAGTAAATTCTCTATTCTTCAAGGTTTCTGTTGTTTTCTCTACTTTAAGAGAAAACAACAGGGCAAATTGCATGAAAAACTAACGTACTTTAACTTGATTCTTATTTTAGGTAACGTACTTTCACATTTTGGTACCTAAGATATAAAGTTTTAAACATCTAAATACCTAGGTAATCGGTTGAAGACTAATTTTAGATTAAAAAAACTAATTTACAGTACATGACTAGTTTATCAACTAAGGGACCGTTAACCAAACGCTTACTCGGATAAATGAACACCAAGTCATTTTATCTTACCGAATGAATACGGTAAGAATTAAGAATCTTATTCGGTAAGAGCGAGACAAGGACTAACTAAAAGTCTCACCCGATAAGTGAAGGCGACGATTCTTACTCACGGTAAACGCTTACCGGATAAATTGTTGCATACGATACCGTTTTGGTGGACTAAAATCTTATCCGGTAAGTAAACGATAGTGTTAAATTTACCAATAAGTGTTTACCGGGTAAGTGTTTGGTAAACAACCCCTAACTTAAACGATTCAGCCAAAGTACCAAAAACTCCCATCCTACCATCTAAAACCTTATAAAGCCAGAGGGGTATCCCATTGTTTTCATGAATCACAAGAACCCTAAATCAAACATACAGAACAAACCCAGATCATGAATTGCTCAAAATCATCTACAATCAAAAACCCACAAACCAAATACACACAAATCCATCAAAAATCAACACAAAAACCATACAGAAAACAGAGAGAGAGAGAGAGAGAGATGTAGTTACAGGGTATTAGCATGTTGAATATCTGCTTCAAGAACTTTGAGAGAATCCTTGAATGATTTTCTCATCGATCCAACATTCATAATTTCCAGTCATACACCATCAGCTGAATGATTGATTGCTGTATGTATATATATATAAAACCCTTAAAATCGTATTGGGTTTTCTCTCTCTCTCTCTAGAAACAGACGTGAAAGGGGGAGTGTGGTTTGTTTGTTGTTTCTCTCTCTCTCTATCTTGTTCACGAAATCAATGAAGAAGGGTGTCACCGGCAAGATGCCACGTGGAATTAAGAAAAGTGTAACACCTCAACTTTGAAGATTTCTTCGTGGATTTCTATTTGTATGAGATTCATTGTGGCTACCTTCCTACCTCCATTTTCGCTTTTTAGTAATGAAATTGTTGATTAGTGTAATAAAAATAATTAGAAAAAAGGATAAATATATATATATATTGTTTAAAATCTCATCTTTCATTTTTATCATTTAAGTATTTGGATAATCGGTTAAAGTATTAACCATACTGATGTAGCGAGTGATATGATGTCAAACTTAGTATTATTTGTTGAAGTATTAACTAGATACCACATCACTCGCCACTTTTCAGCATGATAATCCATTAATGCTTCAACTGGTTATTCGAGTACTTAAATGTCCAAGTACATCTTAGGTACCAAAATGGAAGTTTTGAAAGTACGTTACCTAAAATATGAATCAAATTAAAATACGTTATTTTTTCATGCAATTTGTCCAAATTAAAACATGTCTTGATTTTATACGTTACTCGTCGTCATTATCGCTTTCATTAAATCATTAATCTAGATTAATTTTTTTGGGTTAAAATAATGTATGTAACCAATTTATAAAAGTTTAATAGTTTATTTACTAAAAATGATGAGAATTTTAAGTCGTTACTTTTAAGTTTTAACATAAACTTAAAATTGATTTTATAAAAATCCAAGAAGGAATAAAAATCTTTTTGTGACCACGAAGGTTCAAATATGGTAACTCCGGGGTATCTGCAAAATAAGTGGTTGTCATGGGGATTAGTCGGCTCGCATAGCGGGTTGGATATCCAGGTTAATAAAAAAATAATTTTATAATAAGATTTGTGTTTTAATAAACACTTTAAAATAAATATTTTTGAATTATTAAATGACCAAAAAGAATTTTCATTGTTGCTTTAAATAAAACCTTATGTGCATTAAATAAAGAATATGGTGATTGGTTGTGTCTTCCAACATTAAATGTAAAAAAATTGTTAAGACATTTTTCAGATGTTGGGATTGGTCCATTCAGACCATCGTACGTCTTCTCATGCTCTTACTTCTAAGTTCTAATCATAAAAAACCGACATATTTATTAAAAAGTGAAGTGTTAACAAAGTTAAGGGAATGGTGCGTTTGATATACAGATTACATGAGAACGGGACAAAAAAAATAGTCTTATGTTTGGTATGTTATGGACACAAAAAAAAAAACATAGGAAAAGTTGAGACTATTTTTAATTTTCATGGGACAGATCTTGATATTTTTTGTTCCACCAAAAAAGGTGGAACAATATGGGATTGAATTTAAAATGACTATATTACCCTTGTTATTTCATTTCAATAGAAAACCTAAATCATCTCATTGGTGCAGCTATCGCCTCCATCGCCTGGTATCGTCTTCCTCTTCTTCCACCGGCCTCCCATTGCCTCCTCTCCTCCGCAGTCGGTAGGATTTCTCCATTTCTCCATCTCACTTCTTTGCCTGCGTACGATTTCTCCATTTCTCCACTGCGTACGAAATATAGTAGGCTCTAACATCCGTTACCTTGTGTTGTTAAGTGCCTATATTGACCAAAATGCCCCTCAAGTGACAAACACGTGAATACACTAAGAACAACTAATGGCCCTAATAGATAAGAACAATTACCATAACCAAGTACAAACTTAAAAGGAGAGTCTTTATAACTTTCAAAAGTTAGAGGCGAAAACACCCTTGATCACTTTTAATCTTATGTACATCTATAAATTGTGCTTTAAAAGAAATTGAAATAATATATAATATTATATATATATAAATATTTACAAGTGAAAATGTAGGTGCTCTAAATCTATTGTAAAGATATAAAAACTTCCTTCTTCATGAGTTGATATTACAACAAGCCAGTGTTCAATGTTTCACACAATGAAACTAAATTTAAAGTACCATAACAATCTATAATCTTACCAACTACTCAAAAATACATAGTATTAATACTATCGTGTGCCTGCGATACTCCGAAATTGTGCCAAAATCTCCGCAAACGTCACGATTCCGACAAGCGTATAGTCGTGTTCCACAACCCAAGCGTAACTAACACGAAGTGCAATCATTTGAACCATAACAGCCATCAACGTGTTCCACGGATGGCAAACGATCGCCTCGGACCTCCTTCCGGGGTAAAGCCGACCCACACAACCGGTTTTTGCCGAACCGAATTCTTCGTCAGACGAGCAACACGAAGAGGAGGAAGACAAGGGGTTGTAGTAGTCGTCCATAAGATCCAACATCGGAGTCATGTTCCGTTCTTGCAACCTCATTTTAACCAGATGTACCAGATCATCTGACGGGCCACCATAGTCGATATACGCCATGAGATCGCCTGCCGAGAGGGTTGTTATGGCGGCCGCTACGGTTTCGTCACAACAGGCAAGGGTAAAAGGGGAAATTTCACCGATCAAACGGTTATCTTTCATGACGACTGCAATGGACGTTTGGTCCATAAGTGAGCGGGAAATTAACGGCAATGCGGAAGAGGCGGGATCGTCGAAATGGATGGTGAGCGTGGCTGGATCGATTATGTCGAGTGCTTCGATGGTGAATGTGGGTATCGGGGAGAAGACGCCGATGGAGTTGAGGAGGAACCGAACCACGTCTTCTTGGGTCAGCCAACAGAATTCTTGGCCATAATGAAGAGTAGGACAAAGAAGAGAATTAGGCTGGGTGAGTTGGGGTTTCCTTAGATTACGTCTTGCATTGCTGTATATTGGTATAACTAAGTTTTGAGCCCCATCAAGTATGCAATCTATGGCCTCCAACAGACTGGAAAAAGAAAACAAACAAGAAAAGAGAGACAAATGATATTTCCATGAGTTTAAAGTTAAATGAAACCAAATCAAAAGAATTCAGTATATCTTGTCAGATGCGGAGTCTACAGAGTCCGGTCATAGGATATAGGCAAACATTACCACTGCTCTGAAACCTATTTTCTCTTCTAAGGGCTTTTTTAAAGAGTAATCTAATGAAGTTTCATATATTCTTAGATGGTAAAGAACCAACTGTTATAGCATCTAATTCAACAATGGAGTTCACATCTACCTTGCAAAATAGTTTTGTTAGCAATGGTTAATTTTGTTATTTAACATCCGATCCAACGATCATGGTGGGATATGCTTCATCAATTGGAGGCGAATATCGTACCTAACCACCATAAAAGATTTCATTTCACTTTAGGATCTTAAAAGTAACATATCCAATTATTCGAAAAGGATGGGGAGTGGAAGAATTTTACTGAAGTTGTCCAGATAATTTAAAATAAAGATTAATGCTAAAAGATGAAATCAATGCTGAGAACAATATTAAAATGAATATGCAATAAAATATTAGCTGATAAGATCCGCTTTTGCTTTTCTGTACGGATGAAAATCAATTATTAGATGAGATGAGACCCATACTACCTAACCCCTTCACTTTAAGACTTTAAGACGGAGAAAATTCATCATATGCTTTATGTATTTCCATAACTGAGAAAATCTGGATGTGAATCAAGTATTTGTGAATCCCATACCACCAAACTCCTTCACATTTATATGGAGCAATTCATCATCTGCTTAACAAATTTACATAACTGAAAGAAAATCTATCGGATTAAATTCAAACCGCTCCCGAGGAAATAATGAAATTTAGGGTTCTTTGTATGCAAGAAATCAGATCATTCCTGAAACTTTGAGCTACATTAATGTCAATTATTTCATGTTGTGAACAATTCCAGATAATTCATCCATTTCACCTATCAAGCAAACTTGCCGCAAATTCCATCGATGAAAATAGTTCCAAGTCAATAACATACAAAAACAAAACGAATATCATATAAACGAACCTCGAATTCGGTTCCAGATGTCTAATTTGGCCTTTCACCTTCGGAACCAGATCCAAAACGTTCGATTGAAGCGCATCCAAAGGATGCAACAGATTCTCCTCTTTACAAAGATAAACAATCACATCAACCATACAGATCTTCCCAACGCATCGACAACCAGCGGTGTCATTACAAGCCGCCACAGAATTTGAATGATCACAGCTCCATATGCTTACATAGATCTCCCCTGACTTTTTCAGTGCAAACACCGCGTCCGCGACGGTGGCGACGGTTGGTAACGACCTCAACGGCGGCTTTCCAAGGCACAAGTCGGAGATTTCGCTCGCCAAAAACCTAATTGCCATACAATGGAGTTCGAAATGGGGAGGAGCCTTCAGCAGTTTATGGAATATTCGTTTTTTCCGATCAAATGGCGTTCATCGGCTATTTATAGGTGGAGGGAGGATGGCAGAAGATTTCGGACAAACTATACGGATTTGGTCCTTTGTTATTTAAATATTTGCAATTTTTACCACAAGTTTTAATTAATTACAGTTTGGTAACATTTGTTATTTTTATTTCTCTGACTTTATGAAAATTGCAACGGTTAGCATTATTGGTTAAGACCCCACATTGGTAGAGAAAGGAACTAAGGTTGCTTTATAAGTAACTGGATACCTCTTATATCAGATGCATTTTAAAACCGTGAGTCCATATGTGAATAAAACAAACAATATCTGCTACGATTAGTCTGAGATGTTATATACAATGTCTATGGAGCACATGCTAAGACGCATGTTTCATGTCAGATAAGTGGATCTTCTAGTTTAATGGAAAATAGTTGGCTTCAAGTTATAAAAAGCTCTATAATCTATAAAAAGCAGTGTCAATATCGTACTTGCAATTATTGCAATTTTCGATATAACTTCATGGTTTATCAGAAAGATAACGAATTTTTATCTGACCTTGCTTGTAGATCATGGTATTCACCAAGAAGGAAAACATTGGCAACTAAAGAGTAACTTGTTAATCTATCGTATTAAAAGCTGAAGCAAATTGTTAAGGTAGTAATAACTACAGTTATTGCTTCTTTTTATCTATTATCAGTAAGTAACGCAAGTTCTTGAGCTTTATTTTAATGTTATTAAGCTTTCCTGTGTGGTGTGTTACGTCTTCTATTGCATAAAGATGTCACTCATGGGATCAGATCTCATATTTCCATATCCAGGGGTCAGGACACATGGATTCAAAAGACCCGACAACAATACTACTACTGATGTCGTATCCTTTCATCTTTTAATTTTTGAGTAAACACTAAACATGATATGGAAAATCAACGTTCAATGAATGCGATGAACGTGGTTCTACCAATTGTGCAAATTACTAACACAATCACTTTTTAGAATGATCCGAGTCAGGGGCGAATGCAATGGTAAAAAGGAGGGGGAAGGGACCCCAGGCAAAAACTCAAAAAGAAAAATCATAGGTTTTTATATGATTTACCTTTCATTTCCCCCTGTTACATTTTTCCACGGGCCTTCAACCCCAATCAAAAACCGTTACTCTAACAAAAAAAATATGTTGAAATCAATCAAAAAAAAACAAAAAAAAGTTATACGAAATCAACGAAAACACTAAAAAATCTCTCGAAATCAACCAAAAAACTTTAAAATTATCTCGAAAACGTTGCAATTAGGTTTAAAAAAAACGTCAGACGCTTTTGCAGGTTCTACTTTAAAGGTGATTCCACTGAACAAAAATCTTGGATCTGCCAATTTTGAGGGAAGAATAGAGTTGGAATGAAAACGAAAAATAAGGTATAAAAACAGAAGGGGTTAATTTGAACATATATGTAAAGATGAGGGTAAAGATTGCTTGTTTGTTATAAGAGTGAGGGAGTGAATTGTAATGTTGTTGATTTCACCTCAAAAGAGAACCGCTTTCATCGCGGTTCACGGGTGTTGAACCGGTCCTGGTTCCATCCGTTTAATAAAAGCAAGTTGCCGTCGGGTGTACTCTTACCCTTGTTTATTTAATTTTAATTTTGAAAAATAGTTGGTATGATCACACGAGGGGTGTTTATTGGACTAGAGAGTCAATTAGAAACATATTAAACAATAATTAAAAAATATTTCCACCGTCTTAAAATAAGGCAGTGTTTGGTTCATAGAATGAAATTTGATGAAATTGAAATTTATCAAAAAAATGACTTTGAAAAAAATTAAAATGGAATTTGATCACGCATATGGTTGGTATGAATTGGAATGAAATCTCTCAATATAATTTGAACAGTCATCTTTGTATGGACTATCCCACCCATCGGTCCCGTCCACACCCTACCAACCACCATGTCACTACTGTCGTCGTCACAGCTATCACCCCCACCATTACCCAAACCCCGCCCCCATCACTCCTGCTCCATTGGGGTTGTTAGGGGAATGCATGGTGGGGCGAGATGATGAGGGTGGGGCCAGAGTAGGACAGTGGGTGATAAGGTGGTAGATGTGACGACTATAGTGGTAGGATGGTGGTTAGTGGTGTGTTGGAGTATGGTAAGATAGGGCGGGGTGGGATGGTGGGCGGGAAAATAAGTGTTTCCAATACTATTTTAATTTGTTTAATATAAATAACTATTTAAAATGATCAATTTACTCATGATGAGTTGTTTATTTTAATTAATTTATGTAATTTATTAAATTATAATAAAATAGTTATTTTTTATAACAAAATATATCATTTTAAGTTTTCGTCAAAACAATTAAAATGATATCAAATAAAAAGTTTATGTACTTTTCTATTTTTATTTTTATCTCTTTTCTGCATTATTTTTTATTATTAATATATAATAAATTACATAAATTAATAAAAATATAGAAACCGTATAAAAATAATATTTTGAGTACAGTAAAATGAAAGTTTAAGAAACATAAAATACAATAAATAAAATTTAAAGAATGAATAAAATGTAAAAAAGAGACATATTTGATTTTTAGAAGAGAATTAAGTTTTATTTTAAGATTATATTGGTAAAATATAAGTTTGTTCTACCTTGTTCCACCCTGTTCCATGGGGTAGGGGTGGAACAGGCCTGTTCCATGGGGTAGGGGTGGAACAGGCCTGTTCCACTTTGTTCTACTCTGTTCCACATAAAATTCATGTCAAACATGAGATAGGGATCCCTGTCATGTCCTGTCCTGTCACTATCCAATGTACCAAATGCATCCTAATAAAATTGAAAATTGAGTTAAACTAAACTTATATGATATTAATTCAGTTTGATCCAACACAATATGATAAATTGAATACAAACTCTGGCTGTTTATTTGGAATGTACAAGTCCAGAAAACGTATTTTAAAGTTAAAAATGGAAAATAATGGACTAGGTTTTAATTTCGGTTATCGACCAGACAAAAACCTGATTTTTGTAATATCTTGAACTGTAGAGCTATTATTTTGTTAGGCTATATTTAATAACCATAAGTAGACTTATTTTTCGAGCTTACTGCAAAAATTTCGTTTGGATTGTGACAGCAGATAAACTGTGCTTCTGTTCTCCTCCATGTTCATAAACAAAACAACATGCGAGCCATTATAAATACCTAATTCAATAAGGTTGGTATCTATATCTGATCGTTTCTTAATCAACTCAGATATATTGTTAAAAAGTTGTGTTTGATAATCAGTATTTTGTACGACTACCATTAACATTACCATATTCAACTTCAAGTGCACTCGTTGTTTCAAATATATTTCGATCGAATTTCTCATTTTATTTTTCAAATAATTTTCTAAATATTATAAAAAAAATCTTTCAATTATCAATAATGTTTTTCATTAGAAAATATTTTAAATCAAGTTTCCACTTTTGCCCCTTCTACTGATTTGATATTTGGTTAAATTAGTATCACAATTTTTAACGTATTTTCTACGAAAAGCATTTAATATCAACCTTTCTGAGATGATTTTTGATTCATCAAATGTGAAAATATATAAAATACAAGGAATATCAACCAAAAAACCAAAAAAAAAACATTTTTCAAACCAAAAAACTGAAAAAAAGTCTCTTGAAATCAACCAAAAAATTTAATATAAAATCTCTCGAAACGGTGGAATTTAGCTAAAAACACATTAAGCAACATTGCATGCATTTGATCCGCCTTAAAGGTGCACCAGCTCCATAAAAAATATTGGGTTTGCCACTGGTTTGACTCGAAAAAACTTTTTTTTTGAAGTATATAGTATTTATATACGACAAATGTAACAAATAAACTCATACACCCTCCTCACCTTTGGTTATATATGTTTGAATCCTTGACCTGCTACGAGGCCAAAAGCTCACATACCGCTAGACCAATGACCATTTGGTTCGAAAAGAACCTTTTTATTTTGAGTTGTTATACGTTTCAGTTCATTTTTGTACTCTAGCTTGAAATTGAATATGATAAAGTTCAACCAGATCAAGTATTTGACATACAACATCTGATTTTATTTATTAAGTATTTGACAAATTAAAAAATAAATTGAAATAAAAAGGCTGAGTAATAAACGACCCTTGGACTACTAATACTGAATGGTAAGATGTAACAATAGAACTGAAACTGCCTTATCTTGTTTTTGTGGTAATAACAAAGTCGGTGATTAGAGGTGACAAACTGGACATGTCAAACAAGTTGGGTAATAGGTTAGATAAAGTCGGTTTTGGTTGACTGATCCTTGTTCTTTAACGAGTTTATAATTAAGTTATATTTTTATAAAATATAAAAAAGTAATTTTAAAGGAAAACGTATCAAACAATCCAAAAACTGTTCAAAATATATTAATATATTTACGACCTCTTAAATCATTTTATACAGAATAATAAGATATATGTTTTAATTATATTTCATATTTCAGTTATTTATAAAAACTAGAAGGGTACTCGCGCAATGCAGCGAGATACATCTCGATTTTAATTTTTTTTTTTGTATCTGTCGATATTGTAATACAATTTTATGTGTTTTTAAGAAAAGAATAATGATTTTATTTTTTAATAAAATATAAATTTGAAAACATCACAAAAGTTTGGAAAAAAATATATCAATGTTAATATCAAATCAACTATTTAAAACTTCTCATTTTTATGTAATTTCTTTAATTTATTTTTTTAATTATAATTTAATTTAAATTTAATAATGAAATAATTTATTTTTGGTTTAATAATATAACATTTTATAAAGATAATAATTAAGTATTATGTTAGACTCAATAATGATCTTAATTATATTTTAGATTTTGTATATTCAAAATGAGATGTTTATCTTGTATTTGATTATGTTTATCTGCAGTTAGTTACACGAATTCAGATATGAAGCTTTAATAAGTTGTACTTAC